TGAGAGACGCTCATATAACTGCACTTTCTCTTAACAGTGGTCAATTCAAATGGGCAGCGAATGCAGGAAACATAGAGTAGGTATTAAAGCTTAATTTTAGTTTTATATTTATCTTATTAGATCTCGAACCATTTTATCAAGCATTGTTTTTGGAAATCAAAATTGATTTCCAGAAACAATGCTTGATAAAATGGTTCGGGATCTAATGTGTCTTAGTTATGGAAGTGTATCTAAAACTTTTCTTCTGAAATTCTCTTCCTATCTGCATGATATTTGATATTAAGTTGCTCTGCTTTTCAAGTCATAGTATAATAATCTGAATATTTTAGGAGCTGCATTGGATTAGTTCCAGGATCACAAATGCTTACTGTAGTTGGAGGTGCGGAAGGGACAGAATTAATAGTTATTCAGATTGATGTGGCTTATGGTGCAGTTATAAAAGTTCGGAATCTCAGTGCGAACTGGTTCAGTCAAAAAAGGTGAAATATGTGGTGAAAAATTTATATTCTTAAAGGCTCAGTGAATTGTTGAAAGTCGGATTGAAATGCAATAATAGGTATCTCAGAAATATCGATAAGCATTATTTGCCATAATTTGGTTAAACAATATAATTTAGAGTACCAAACTTCATCTAAAATGCAGTACATTAAAAGTATTCCTTTCTGGGTAATAACAACTTTTTTTTTGTGGTCAGGTTTTTCTCAACTAAGTTATAACGAATGAATTCATAAGTTATTGAAGTCATGGAGAAAATTCTTTTACAGATGCATTTTGTCTAATGCGTTGTTACAATGTTTTGATAACAAAGGCTTTTATGTTGTCGATTTATCGTTGGATCCGTTCACTGTACACTACACTTCACTTCAGTCTATAACTGAAATTCCAAATTTAAATGCAGGAGAAGTAATAGTAGTACATACTGTCGCAAACACCTATGTTTATCGTGTTAGTTTATCGGAACCACCAGCGCTGCTTTTAAAACTGGAGAAAGTAAATTTTTTAAGTTTATTTTAAAAAGAGATAAAAGTTTGAATCAAATCTGCTAACTGACATCTCTTTACATATTCTGTTAAAATTCATTGTCATTTTCAGGTTGAAGCAGTTTCCTCACATTTGACAACCAACGGACAAAATCTTTTGGCTGTTGCGACATCTGCGAATAACATTTTCGTTTATGACGCTGTGAGTGGAGAACAGCTATTCATAGGAATTATCCCAGAAAAAGATCCAGCCCTCGTAAAACTCATTTCTTTTATCGAAACATCAAAAGAATTCGAATTTGCAGTTGTTCTGGAAGATTGTAGATTTGTTTATCTAGTTGGCTCGTCGAACAAACTTGCAAAGGAATGGATCAGACATGAAGCACTAAGTACCATTACCTCAGTCGAAATGGTTGATTTACCTTTATCTGAAGCACAAGCTGATATCGAGTCAGAATTTGCTTCAAATGATGGTTTGTTTAAAGTTAATGCTTAAAATTTTTTTCATATAAGTTTTTGTTAGAACTTTCCAAAACATTCAAAGTTTTGCTTACTGAAAGATTATTTTTAATTTTCAACACGTAATTAGCTTGCTTAATTTAAATTCTCTTTCTCAGCGGTGGCTTCTTTACCTTTACTCAAGCAACGAAAACTCTCTTGTGACTACGCCATACTTTAATATAAATGAAGTTATCCTTTCATACTAAAGCCTTCTTCATCTACGGCTAATCAGACTGTGCCAATATCTTGGCATAGCTTGATTAACCGTAGATGAAACAATTTCAAAATGCAAATTTTACTTGGCTTCTGCAGGTACCATAATAGAGTCGTTAATACGGCGTCTAAGAAGTCAAATAGAACAGTTTCGTCGTGGTTGTATTAGTGCAATAAATCTGATTTCTTCATCTTCAAATTTTTTACCATTCCATTCGAAATCATTTGCCGGCTGGATGGCATCTCTTCGATTTTCAAGCAAAAGCACGCGAAAAAAGGATATGCCATATGAACGAGATTATTTTAATCTACGAAAAATTATTGTTGCTTCAACGTTGAAATCTATTGTTTACGGTGAGTCTTGCTTAACTGTATTCCTTATGAAAGGACAGTAACAGGTTTTAACCATATTACAAAGAAAATATCATCTCTTTTGTCATTTCCTTCTGCATTTATTGCCTAGATATTTATGAATAGAGATATCTTTCTTGCAGGTATTGATAGCAGTGATGGAGCAATTTTATGGTATATTTATTTGGGGAAAAATATTAAGCCACTGTTTGGCTCACTGGGAAATGAAAAAATCCCTCTCTTCATACAACGTACTACAGCCCACTATCATTTTTCTCCACAAGCTGTCGTCGTTGCTAATGATAAGGTTCGAGTTTGTTAGTGATATGATGTTCAGGTGTTCGTTATTGCTAAACAAATAATAACAAAAGAAATTATTTCTTTAATTGAAAAGTTGTTCCTAAAGTCGCGTAAGATTTATTATATTTCAGAGATCAAGACACGTAGTTTTGATATCTTTTAATCCCATAACAGGATCTTTAATCGAACGGAAAAGCTTCCCTACTTTTATAAAACGCGTTGAAATTCTTCCTTATGCGAATGCACAGACACACATTTATAACCTCATAATGCTTGATGAGAATAATAAAGTAAGTTTTATTTGTATATAAATAAAATTATCAAATTGTTGTATGAAATGTTTTATTTATGTATGACTTTATCAAAATCAGAGACTCAAGATCCAAACTCATTTCACTGGTTATTTTAGGTCACGTTGTACCCGGAAAATCTAAGTGCATTGGAACAGCACATCCCGCTGCATTTCTTCACTTTTAATACTTCTGGTAATTTAGAAGGTTTTGTCGTGGATGCTTCTCGTAAACAGCTTTTATCAACTTGGAAAGTGAAGCTCTCTTTACGAAATGAACAAAAGATTGTTGCTGTTGTTCCGAAACCATCCTACCGTCAGTTATTTCATTTTTTGCATCTTTATGAAAGCTTTGTAATTGATATTCTGCATCAATTTTGTATTTCATTGATTTTCACATTTCAGAAAAAGTTCACAGTGCTGGAAGAGTACTAGGTAATCGTTCAGTGCTATATAAGTATGTAAATCCAAATCTAGTCGCAATTGCAGTACTTGATTCCATTCATTCGGTTCTGCAAATTTATCTTGTTGATGCAGTCTCAGGTTACATCGTATACAGTGGTAAACAAGATAAAGTAAATAAAATTATATTCTTCAAAGTAGAAAAATTTTTTTGCAATTATTTCTCAAATCTTTACCGAATATATAATCATTACAATGATTTTGACTAAAGTTTATAGTGAATGATACACTTTAAAGTGTCGTATTTGATTGTCTCATTATGTATATTTGTAGCTTGTATTCTTTTGTATTGGAAAAATTTTTTAATTTTTCAACAGTCATTAGATATTCTGCGAAGAAGTCATTGTAATAAGGGTGTAAAATTGCAAAAATAATTAAATAAATTTTACAGATAACTGGTCCAGTTCATTTGGTTCATTGTGAAAATTGGTTGGCTTATTCATATTGGAATGAGAAAGGTCGTCGTGTGGAAATAGCTGTGGTAGAGTTGTATGAAGGTCTTGAACAAACTGATGCTCTTCATTACAATTCACTTGTCCATACGGTGGCAGCACGAGTCATAGCTCTTTCTCAGGCTTATATATTTCCTCAAGGAGTGGCAGCATTAGGCGTTACAGAAACTGGTTAGAATTTATAACACAAATCTTGTATCAAAATCCAAATAGAGAATCTTTATTGGAAACACGGAGTCAGTGGCATTCTGCAGCGTAATAGCACAAATCTTATTGCAAGTAGTAAAGAAGGAAAATTAATGAGATGGAATGAATTAATTGTACTTTTTGTAAACTTAGCATTTGTAATTGGAATAGATTTTTTATTTTCCTGTTATCCTTCTTTGGTGTCAGTTCATGTCCATAGTTATTTTTTCAAATTAATTCTTTAAGAGCTGAAATTAATTTTTATGTGAAATTGTTGTATAATTAATGTATTCATATGATTTAGAGCTAGGATTGTCAACAAGATCTTTATTGGTAGCGATGCCATTTGGCAGTATATATGTAATTTCTAAACGACTATTGGATGCTCGTCGCCCGCTAGAAATGACGCAAGAATTAGCTGAAGAAATGCTTCTTCCATATCGACCGGAATTACCTATTGCTTCTGAAGATTTCATCAATTATAATCAAAGTATACATGGTATACGCGGCTTTAAAACTTCGTAAGTTATTTCTTGTGAGAATCAGCATAACTATGCAGTTAGTTGGTGAACGTTATACGTTGATAAGTCCTTATCAAACTGTTTAATTACGGAAAACTTGTATTCTTACTGATTGGATTTTCATTATTTTATGTCTTTCATCTTGGATAAATAGTTTTTGGCTTTTCGTATAGAATAAAAATGAAAGTAATATTTTTGAATTAGGAATTCGGAATCACGTATCGAGAATTTCTGTTATCCCCATGACGCTCTAGCTTTTGTTATATTCTTCTGAGAATGACTTGAGCTGAATAATATCATTATTAAGATGATTTTATCCAGATTGTAGAAATAGTGTACTGTGCAGAAAATAATTTCGTTTGTAAAAAATTATAATATTCCCAAATTTTCGTCAATTTTCAGACCTTCTGGCTTGGAATCGACGAGCTTAATGTTGGCTTATGGTACTGATCTTTTTTTCACTCAATTGACTCCGTCTGGAACTTTCGATGTATTGAAAGATGATTTTGATCATTTGCTTATAAGTATTGTTTTAATAAGTTTGGTAATTGGAAGTTTGATTTGCAAAAAATTGGGCAAAAACAATAATCTAAAGCAGGCTTGGCAGTGATCATTATTTTATATAGAAGGATCAGATATTTCATAGGGATGTTGTGATTCATATTTTTTGGATATGAATCACGATATTCCTCTGACGAATAAGAGATTCGTTTTGTATTAGGAATTTAAAAATATTGTGATTAATTTTGTATTTTTTCATTTATATTGTCATCATATTATTAGTTTTTCACTTTTGGTTATTTTGCTGAGTCTTATTAACTTTTTTATTTAATAATTTTATCATGACGATGGATTTCGTTCCACTTTCGCTACCAGTTCATTTCTTTGCAAGCACTGATAACCCGATTCTCATCAATGCGAAAGTTTTCTAAAACTATTTGTTTGCTGGTTACAAATCTGGTAATTATATCTCATTCTAATGCGGGTATATATTGTATAATTGTTTGTTATTGTTGATGCGACAAGAAATGTTAGCTTATACGTTATCATCAACTACCAAATTTTGTTGTGAAGGATTATTATTTTAATAAATGTGGAATCTTTCTTGTATTTATTTCGATAATCAAAAATAACGAATTACCTCAATAATAATATAGCAGCATACAGCGGTCAAAAAGGACTATGATCGATCAGGTTTACGCTTTTATCAACTTTTGCGATATTACAGGAAGGTGATTTTCCGTAAGATTTTCCTAGGTGATTTGATGTTTTTGCTGTTTGTTTATTTAAATTACAACATTAGGGTATCAAATCAAATTTTGGTTAAGAAAAATTTTGGAATGAAAAAAAATCATGGATCGGTTTCCTGAAGTTCTTTATTTTGCACGCTAAATTATGTTATATTTATTTAAATGTAAGGTAAAATGAAGTTTAGAATTAATATCGAGAAAGCATGAGAAGTTTAATAGTTCATATGTTGGAATTCTAAAATTCTAAAAATTCAAATAAATCGGCTTTTTGCTACTGCAAACATACAGATTAATAATAGTATTAATAATGAATAACATTAATAACCATCAATAATCAATAAAGTTTTTAGATAATTTGATCAATTTATCGATTTTTCGCAGTTCATCATAAAATGTAAAAAAGTGAATCAATTTAAATTTGGATTTGAATTTTAATTTCTTAGTAGAAATTTTTGTTGTTCACTGCTGTCTGCCAAAAAAAAAAAAAAATCACTTTTGTACAAAGAAAAGAACACTGTGTTTTGTCAATACAAATAACTGATCATGGAATGGACTGTAATATATAATCTGAATTGCAAACAACGAATGCTGAAAAGGTTGAATGTTCGCTAATGTATGCAAACTTTTTTCAAAATTATGCTTCATTTGATATTTTCTTGCAATGAAAAAAATGAAAGAAATGAAAATTTATTAATTATAATTAGTTCGCAGAATGTTTTGATTTGCATAAAACTGAGAAGAAATAGAATTTCCAAGATATCTGACTAAATTATCAGCATTATCATAGTAAACCCATTGATTTCTTCATATCCAACTCCTTACAATTACTTTTAAACTCTACACTGCAATTCATTCAATTTCTACTATTTTTTATTTTTAATTTTGTTTTCCATTACTGCTCATTTTATTAGCAAAAAAAAAAAAAAAAATTGTTGGCAGTGAGTAAACAATCATATATTTTTGTTTTATTATATCAAATTTATTGTCACCAAATTTTGCTACCAATTATCATTTTCTCAGTGTTTGTAGTTTATCATTTACACTTGTTAAAGAAGCATATCATCGATGCATATCAATTGATGGAATGGTTTTTGCAATGATCAAATAACTAACTATTAATAAATTATATCAGTACAACCATTCTGTCAATAGAAGAATTATGAAATGAATAAAAAAAATGAAACTTTTTTTTCTTATCATTTCGTCTTTTTGTTGCATAGTTAAAGTTGTGCAAGTTTTCATGAAGCTTATCAATTATTTTTATTATTCGTTCATTTATAAATATTTCTGATATCATTAGTAAAAGTCCATTTTTGCTAATGATTAGTTGGTGTTATAGTTTTTTGCAACTGTTGCTAATAAATTCTTAGCTTATGTTCCTTGTAAAATATTGTAAGAGTTCCTTGTTCCTTGCTCAAATTTTCCTTATAGGATTTTAATGAAGAATGGAATTAATGAGATATTGATATTTTAAATAGTGATTGATCATCTAATTTATTATTTATATCCGCATTAATTAGATTTGAAATTTGTCTTTTAAATAAACTGTTATTTAAGGTTCATTATGTTTGTTAGCTTAATAGCAATTATTTCACTGGTGCAATTTGCTAGGGCAAATGAATTTCCAAATGGTACCGATACGAAAATAAATTATTTTAGCTGTAGTCCCGGTATGTTTATGCACTTAGACAGTAACATCTAAATGATCGGTATATGAAACCTAGAGCTACCTGTGAGAAGTATTCCATGGAGTAGTAAAAAATTTAATTTTTACTTTTCATTTAAATTTAAGAAGTTTATCAAATTTCTCTTCATCTTATATTCTTCCTTTATTTATTTATTTTTTCAAATACATAACTTTCAAATACATGATGCGTTGATCGCATCGAATAAAAATAATAATTTCGACTAAAAATATGGAGCAAAAGTTGCGGCAATAAATTGATTATTACAATTATCAAATTTTTTAAATGATACAAAAAAAAAAATGTTATGAGTGAAAATCTTTTTCATTTGTAGAATTTTTTAAAAATTTTCAAATAATTTTTTGAGGATATTTCTAGCAAATATTATTACCGTCTCATTCATTGAACTATTCGATCGAAATAATATGTCAATGTATCCGATTAAATTGGAGAAACTAGCAGCTGTTAAATTGAAAGCATATAACAACGGGAATGTGGTAGATGCATTTCGAAAACTATATTTGGAAAATTAGATGATATGAGCTGTAATTTTTTAACTACTGTAATAAGCTTTGATTTTAATTGATGAGAAAATATAAATATATCCGAAAAATTTAATTAATGACAAAAATTTGTGCTACAGATTGTAAAAGATAAAGTGAATGTGGAAGTTTATGCTTATGTGAAGAAGAATGAAAAATGGATGTGGAAAAATATCATTCCGCGATTGTTCCGATTTTTATTGTAATTTAACAAATTTATCACTGCTGCACAATTCCGGGACATTTTTTTTTTCAGTTAAAAATGAAAGATTTTTGATTTTTTTTTAATGAATTGTGATTATTGATTATTTTGCTCAAAGGAAATCATTTTGTTATATTTACTTTCAATCATTTTTAATTTTTGATATGAAATTTTTTTCAGACAAAATATTGATGGTTGTGAAATGGCTCATAATTGCCCATTGAAAAAAGGAGATATCGAATTAATACTGCCACTTAATCTTTACAAATATTCAATCTTTTTTGGTTTAGTCGATAAAACTTTAAGTCATTTTGATTCTCAAAAATAAATCAATAAATGATAGTTTGAAAAGTTATATTAAAATTTCTTCATTATCATTATTCAACAAAAAAATCAAATTCTTTTCTAAAGCTATTCTAAATTAATTAAGCAAAATGGTTTATTTTTCTTGAACTTAAAAATTTGCTAACTTGTTACTTTTCATCAAAGTACTATTTTTACACTATTATAAGAGTTATGAAAATATAGGTAATGAGAGGAGTAAGAAACTAAAATTTGAATATTTCAGGTGGGTCATCAATTCATCATCAAATTGTACGACGCTGAAACTCATCAGCAAATATCTTGCGAAATCATTCAGTTTAAGTTTATTTAAATGAAAGCTCACAATTATAGCTAAATCGTATAAAAAAGGCTTTTTCAATAGTTTCCCGGATCAATCTTTACATTTCACTTCAAATTTGGCATAAAATTCAAGATTAAAATTTAAAAATTTTCAAGTTTTTAATCAATATATTCAATAAAGTAGTACAGACAGCTTTAATCATCAAAAATATTTTAGATAAATCAGTATATACATTGTAAAGAAAAATGTTTACAGAAGTGACGAAAAATGACAGTCAACAAATTACACAGAGCATAACATATTTAAAAGTTCATGAAAATCCATTTTAAAATTGTGTTAAACTTATTGAACTTCTAAAATATCACCTCATGAAATTAACAATGTATTTGAGCTCCAATCTTTCCAATTTTCCATTCAAATGAAATATTTTTAAAATGATCCTTTAAACCATGATAAAATTGAAGCAAATATATATTAAAATTTTTCATTATTCATATTAAAATTTTTCATTATTTACTCGAACAAAAACAAATACAAATATTAGCATAACAAAATAATAATAAATTTCATAATTTTGATGCTTTTTGCAAACAATTTTAAATTGCTAAGAACTAAGAAAAGAAAAAAGAGGAGAAGAAAGATAAAACTATTGATGCTTAGTAAAATTATTTGGTCGTGAATTTTGTTTGGTCCTAAATCAATAAATAAGCCAAGCTAGTTATTATGCTTGTCATAAATCAGTCTATAGTTAGGATAATGTATGGAATATTGATGAGGAAGATGAGGAGTAAACTATTCGTTTAAAAAATGCATATTCCCTTCTCGGAAACAAAATTTCAATTTCTGATTTATGGACATGATATGATGAATTATTGGAGCTACGTATAGGCTACCTAAAATAGTATTGACGTCATTCACGCATATTCATAGTTTTTCTTTAATCAACCATTTTTTATTACAACATATCAAAATTCCAAATACTGCACTTTGTATCCTATCGTTAATTCATTTATCAATCCAATATCCCTAATGACATTTGCGAAATCATCGAAATGCTGCAATAACAAAATCCAAAAAGTTGTAAATTAGCTAATGATAAGCATCAATATTGCATCTTAATTAAAATTAAAAAAGAAAAAACTTTTCAGGGAAACATTTAAACGTTCATTAAGCTATACTGTCCATCTATGTTGGCCATGATGACCTCGTAATGCTAATTTACGTAGTATTCCACATTGACAGGAATAACATATTAGCTTTATCGTTTCATGGTTTTCTTTTGTCTCCGAAGTAATACTACGACTTT